AGATTTGTTTACAACTGCGACACATCCACTGATGTGTCCCTAAGCAAGACACTCAACCTGTAGTTCCTCCAGAGGTGACTCAGACATATATAGCAATTGTAAGTCACATTGGTAAAACACAGTAATTAATTTCAATGAGACCACTGCTTCGGTGGGGTTTCAATGCAGAAGGTCTAGCATTTGTTTTCCCTGCCACTTCTGCCAACTTAAACATGATTAGTGTTTTTATGATTATGTTAAGGCAACTTAGTTAAGGTTTGGGAAAGACATTTTGGTTCAATATAAAAAGTAAACGCTGACTTTTCGATTTTTAACCAATCCACAATGAAGGGAAACAAAATTAATGTGGCTTATATTATCGAATATAATGCAGTAATCAGCAACTTGTTTTTTTGGACAAGGCAGATCTGTTTCTTCTATATTTACATTGCATTTCATGTTTTCCTATTGTGCAAGTAAACCTTTCTAATAGATTTTTTATTTAATATTTAACATTTGTTGTTGCAAGCAAATTTTCAGAAAACCTTTTGAAAATGCTATCAAAAAGTGGTGGGGAGAAAATCACCCATTTCAAAAAGTGGTGGGGACATGTCCCCAGCGTCCCCAGTGTAAATGACACCTATGCCACTATGTAACATCATAGTTCTACAGCTTATCTCGCAATCATCAAGGTGTAGGATAAATTGATTGCCACCATGATACATTTCCACGGTTGTAAAAATCATAACCATAGTGTTATAAACAGCTATGCAGTTTTTTTTTGCGTCTGATGAGCCTCCAAACTCGGGGATCTATTACTCAAACTGGCCTTCCTGGATTGTATTTCACCTTCTTACCAGTTCCCGAAACAACCCCCCCACAGTGCAAAGTTCAAAGACAATGATAAATAGATACACTCATTCTCAAAGAGAGTCAGACGAACCGAGATGTAGCAAGACCTCAACCCAATGATTCACCCAATTCAATCTTCAAAGACTGGGTGCGATAAAGAAAGATACAGAGCAAGACAAAGAATGACCACACCTGGGTGTCCGTTATGGTGACTCAGCCCCTTCAGACGGTAAACTGACTCACTGCCAGCTCGACTATCATTGTCTCAGCCTGCTGCCAAGGCCTTCTACAGACGACACAGACAAATAGAGGAGCTCTGTCTGTTTGGCTTTTACTACATTAAAAATTATTTGAGAGATTTGCAGTAAACTAACAGTATGTGTTGAACACCAAAATCCAGTTAAGTTTAGCAGGGCAGACGATGCGTCAAGTGCCCCTTCTGGTTAGTGCTCTAATAAATTGTTATTATCTGTGTGCAGATGGTTATTCTCATATAAATCCCCAAATGCGTATGACTGCAGTTTGTCATCTTTTCAAAATGGGACATTTATCACGTTTGTATGTTGCCTGCTAAAACATGTTAATTGACTTTTTTAGCATGTCGACAAATATTAACATAGTATGACTGCAAGTATGAATTAATAATCAATAATATTTTCAAAATGGGACATTTTTCACATGTTTGTATGTCTCTATTTTAAAACTACAAATGTTTGTTGGCCTGCTAAATCATTTTAATGGACTATTTTAGCACGCCAACAAATATTAACATGGTAATATGGGTATGTAATGCAATATTAATATTAATGTAATCCTGAATTTGTTTGAACTCTAAAATACAGGACATGCTAAATGATGATGAATTTTTCTGGTATTTTCTGGTATTTTACGTAGCGACAGTGTATCCACATATAGAACCACAATCACAAACAACAAAGATTGATTGACATGGTTATTATGGTTTTCCCCAAGATTTATTGTTAATACCTGTGTACCCACACATGTATGGCAAGTCAAAGTGCTTTGCACAAAACATAAAAGCATTATTGTGTAAATGTGTTTAAATTACCTTAAATGGCCCTAATAAAAATTTTTGGCATGCTAGCAGCATAGCTCTTGGGATGGCAGTATTGTCGGTTGGGCCACAACCTTGGTCCAGACTTAAATCAACCTGATGGATTGCTGTGAACTTTTATACAGATCATGTTCCCCAGAGGATGAAACCTACTGAGTCTCAGATTGCTCCTCTAGCATCACCATGCTGTTGCCATTTTTTTGTTTTTAGTTACATTTGTTGGCGACATCGTCAACCAATGTAACCAAAATCAAAAACATTTGTTGACCACCCAAATGTCCCTTTGCAAGACACTTAACCCCTAGTTGCTCCAGAGGCGTGCGTCCTCTGACTTATATAGTAATTATAAGTTGTTTTCGTTAAAAGCTAAATGTAAATGTAAAATGTTGTTACAACTAATGGGTGGACTGCCACATAATTGGGTACAGGTGAAAAGCAGACCAAGTTGCCCAGAGGATTCTTTGTAATGACTCAGCTAAATGGACTTTTCCTGTAGCAACACCAGCAGGTCAAAGATTTCACTTATTCTGTGAAATATCTCAATCACTACTGGATGGATTGGCACAACATTTTGTACAGACATTCATGTTTTATGCTAATTAGTAAATGTTAGCATGCTAACACGCCAAACTAAGATGAAAAACATGGTGAACATGTGTATGAGATAAGATGTTCAGCCTTTATCCAACTATGCAACTACTGAGTATCCAACTACAGGCAGTTCAGTACTTGAAGACAGGAGAACAAGGGGGCAGTGGTACCATTATTTTGTCCAGCCTCTCTGCACACTGGTGTAATTTGTGTCAGTGTTCCCAGCAGAGGGCAGCAGATGCTCTACACACTATTTTACATGTGTGTATGGTATATATGGTGAGGATAGACTGCTACCTGATTGAAATGAATGGTAATCAGGTTGATAGGTGGACCTGAGGTTGCTTTATCATCTTTTTATGTTTCACTACAAGGTGATAACATAGAATTCTACTTAAATCATTGGTTTATGAGATTTCTTTGTGGTGCTTGATGGTTTTAGAGTTTAATAAAAATAAAAATAAAAAGTGTTGGGTCTTTCCAGAACCAATGTTCTGTTTACAATGTGTTTATTATATAGTTTTTAAAATATCTCAAAGGTGACAGGATTGACTCCCCCAGCAGTTGTATGCCCTGTGGCAGCTCTGAATCAACTGTTCTCAATTACTTTTGATCCAATTCAGCAGGTTGTAATATGTTGCAATAAGTTGCTTTCCTTGCAAAAGTTAAATGTTTTTTTAATGTTTTATTTTCTGTATGCACTGAAGTATAATGGTGTAATATATATATATATATGTTCTTTCTGCAAAATTAGGGCTTTGGTGAGTCCAGCTGGGCAATAAAATCACTTTAACATGCAGCTATAAACTCACAAGCAGACCTAAATTAAAAGTTGACTCAGATGAAACATGCTTTTACAGTCTCACCCAATTGGTCCCTGGGGCCTGTCAATCATGGAAGTGATGTAATGCTGTCTGGCTCTGTTGATTCACTCCACACACACACACACACACACACACACACACACACACACACACACTACACAACACCAATATTCAACATTTCAAGTCAGCTTTTATAGCAATCTTGGGTTTATAAACACTTTAAAAGTTATGTGGATGTGTTTACTAAGTTCTTCATCATTTTTTTTTTGCACATGTGTTAAATAAGCACATTACTTTATCAGAAGACTAATGTTCATTTCAAACCCATTTGGGCCTTTCATTAGTGATTGCCATAAAATAAGGGTGAATATAGCAGCAAGACACCAGTGGAAGGCTTTCACTGTGAAGCGGCTGCCAAGAGTGTTTTAGCCACAAGGGTTAGTCAATGAAGGCGAACAACTCATTGCATTTTAAAAGTTGTCTTAATCTAGATTTAGTTCGGCCAGCTATAACACACAGCTGAATCTGAAACAGCTGCACTGTATTACCACATATAACCCAAGAGGAAATAAAATTAGATGTCATATTCACTCCGAGCAGCATGTGTCGACTTACAGTTTAATCCCGAAAAAGATATTATATTTCTTTAACTGTTGTTTGAATGAATGATTTCAAGTAAACTGTTATTTCTGCTCTAATTAAGTGTCTACCAATTAATAATTAATGTCTAGTCCAGCCCAAATTAATGTCTAGGATCTGAAATTGTTGTTGTCAGTTCATAGATGAAGGCTGTGGGATGCGTCTGACAGCTCCATTAAAGCTAGTACGTGGAAGTTGAGTTTAAATTATTGGAACTTATAATATTGGCTTTTTCTTGTTCAACACATACATGTGTTAAAATATTAACATTATATTATGTTATGTTATTTTGTGAGCATAAATGATTAATTATTCATTTACATGACTGGAGTAATTAGTGTGCACAATTTACTCACAGAATTAGTGATTTGTGCCCATTTGTGTTATTATGTGAGCAAGAAGTTATTTGTGTACAATTTATTAATACGTGAGCACAAATTTAAATATGTGTGCACAGTTTATAAGAATTAAGTAACCTTTGAGCATGAATTTGTAATTTGTATGGACAATGTATTATATTTTAGGGGTGAAATTAGTAATTTGTATGCAAAATGTGTTAATTCAGTCCCAGGAATTTACAATACCTGCACCCAGTTTCCTTTCAGGACATCTGGAGGGCTCCAAAACAAAGAACCTTTAGGTAAATGTTAGGTAAACATCAAAATAATATTAATAGTAGAATATAGTTTGCTTCTTTTATGAATGAATGCAAAGCTGTAGGTTAAATGGTTTATAGGCCTATGTCATTTTGCCATTAGTAGCCTACATGTCCAGTCTCTTCTAAGTTAACCTATGTAATTTTGTGATTTGGGTCTAAATAAACAATATTCGACTTATCATCGTCTTTGTTTTCTCTTCAACTGCTGTTTCCTCCTCTCTGTGTGCTTTGGCAGACCTGTGATGTGCCAAACTGAAAAAAGAAAAAAGAAAGCAAATGGAAATTGGAAATGAGAGACAGACACAGACTGTGTCACCGAGAGAGGGAGAGAGAGAGAGAGAGAGAGAGAGTCACTTAGAAATCCCTGGAGACAGAGGGAGAGAGGGGGGGTGAGACAGAGAGAGGAACAGACAGGACCAGACGGACGTCCGTTTGCAGTTTAGTCGCCGGTCACTCAGCTGAAAACACGGAACCATTAAACCTGATTGCTAACGGATGGAACCGGACATTTAAACTAGGCTTAATTAACTGCATTTAGCTACGTTCAAACTACATTTACCCTGCTGTACCGACACTTCTACGGTACGCCAATAGATAGATAGATAGATAGATAGCGGAGGAAGAGGAGGAGAAACCGGAGAAGCGAGGAGGAGGAGAGAACCGAGACAGAAGGAGGACGGACGGACCGGAGGGGAAGGAGAGGAGGCTGGAGAGAAAAGGGAAGATTTTTTTGGGGGGGGGAGAGTTTGGCGTGGTGGTTTTTTGGTCTCCTCTCCTTCTTCCGATCGCTTTCTCTTCTCCAGCCCTTCCCCGCTTTCCTCGTCAGGAGTACTTATGTCTGGTTTCAGGAGGCTTTAAATGTTGAACTTGATGGGTGTTTTAAACGCCACAGCCACCAATGTCTCCTGTACTTGTAACTGCAAGCGCTACACCTCCCTCCAGAGCATGGAAATCAGTGAGTAACTTGCATTTCGTTACTTTTTTTTTTTTTTAATGTTTGCAATTCAATTCTTCTTCTTTAACTGTGTCTTCTATCGCGCCTGCGAAGCGGACGTTGCACACACGGTATTTTGGATAAAAGTCAAGGACGCTATTTTTTGTTTCATCGGCTCGTTGTTCAGATTTAACGTAAATCGCACAAGTGCAGAAAGGAGAAACATTGCTTCCTTTGATAGTTTGTGGAGTGTTAACTGTCTGTATTTCTAACATAGGTCATGTTGTTCACAAAATATGGTCACTCTGTCATTTTGAATATATTTAGGCTAATGCCTGTGTAAGTTGGCTAGAAGTTGGGCTGTTTTAACGTTACAGACCCTGATTTTTCCTTAACAAGACAGTTTCGTCGGTTAACGTTAATTATGCGATTATGCAAAATCGCTAGATAAATTAAAATACTCACGTTTTCTCCTCCTGTGAACCTTTTACCCCAGTTCTGACTAACGCTTGATTTTGAACTTGAACCAAATCCGCAAGCTTCCTATCGCTTTCCGCAAAGCCGGAAAGAGCCTATAATTTTCGGCTTTTTTGTGCCGTTGTATTTGCTACGAAAGCTGCATTTGACAGATATTGTGATTTTTAGGTCGTTGGTGCTGTGTCTGCTTTTGATCTTTATCTTTCTCTATTTGAATGATCTGCCTTTTCGCTTTTCGTTTTTAAACGACACAAATACGACTTAAAGTGTTTTCAAACGTAACAGGAAGTTTCCGTGGAGGACACTGAAAGCTTGATATCGAAGGAAAAGGTGGGTTTGCTCGGTGGAAAAGGGGAGAAGTTTTGTCGCCGCTTCGTCATTCGAGCAAAGCCAGACGTCTGTCTAGCCGTGTGCTTGCGTGCGCGCGTGTACGTGAGCGCGCGCGTGTTCGTGTGTGGTCGTATCCGGGAAATCCCTGTGTTTGCATGTGTGTGTGTGTTTATATATTCCCGTGAGTGGACTCTTATGTCTTGGTGTGTTGTTTGGTAAAGCAAGGCGCTAAACCTTCCCCGGGTTAGGGGTTTTATTCCTACTGACTGACACCCGTGCTGGTAATGTGGGCTATACAGTCATAATAGGCTACTGAACGGTAATTTAGATGAAAGCTGTGTGTGTGTCCTGCTGAAGTCACTAGTAGGGCTGACTCAGACTGCTCCAGAGCCAAAGCAGGCTCGATTAAAAGGTTCAGAGGAAGACGAAGCATGCAGAAAAAGTTCAAGAAAAGCCAAAGACATTAAGTTTACAATCTTAGAAAAAAAAAAGCAAATATTTGCTCTTGAGACAGAGAGAGAATGACTCAAAATTATTAATTGATTATCAGGGTTGTTGCAGATTAATTTCCCTCAGATTGACACATCAATAGTAGTAGGCTACATAATAATAATTGTTTGGTCAATAAAATCGTGAAAATCAAAAATTTTAAAGCCCAATGACACATTTTTAAATGTCTTGTCCGACTAACAGTCCAAAAGGATAAAAAAATCCTTTAGTTGTAATCTTTAGTTTACGATCAAGATAAAGTAAAGCAAATCCACCCAAACAATTAGCCTACAAATGGACTGTACGGTGCCTTTCTGGTCTAGCAATTGTATCAATGTAATAGAGCGAGTATTATTTGCAAGGGTAGTATTGTTAGTAGGAATAGTGGTAATAGTAACAGAAGTAATAGCAATTGAACTAGTACCAGTACAGTGACAATGGTTTTGGTACTGTGCAGTTATAGCTACAGGAGTATTAGTCAGTTCCCTTGCAGTATCCATAAGTATTCGTTGTGATTACATTACCAAAAGTATGTGGACCCTCAAACATTACACCTATATGTGATGTTTGAACAGATCACTCCAATGCCATGAGCATTAATATGCTGCTTTTAACAGCTGCCACGCTTATTGTTTTTGGTGGTTGAAGTCAGGGCTCTGTGCAGGCCAGTCAAGCTCTTCCACACCAAACTGGGAAAAACACTTATATTTTGACCTGCGTGTGGAGACACTGCCATGTAAAAACAGGAAAGGGTCTTGAATTCCCTCCATTGGATGTAATGTACTGTACATATACACTTGTAGACACACACACACACACACACACAATTCCTCTGTCTGAGAACAGACATGATGTTTAGTCTGGAAGACAGAGGGAGGGAAACAGATAAACAAAGGAGGAGAGAGAAACCTACCGAGACAGAAGGAAGGGAGTGAGAAGAATATGTCAAAACTTTAGGAAAAAGGAACAAGGTGTCAGCAAAAGAGAAAGGCAGAGAGAAGAAAAATCGAAATAAGCAAGAAGAGAGAGAGACTGGTGAGTATATTGTGTAGAAGTTGGTAGAAACTAAATTTGGAAACTAAAAGTGATGATGCATTGGCCTTTATTTAAAAAAAACAAGATTATGTTTAAGGCGTGTCAGCTGTACTGGACATTATGCAGTGGAGTGTGACAGGAAAGATGAAAGACACAGTGGAAGAAAGTATAACAGGATTATCCAAGTCATGCACTTGAGATGTGATGATCAAAGGACGATGTAGACGTGATAGAAAAAGCCGGGCTTCCCTACATTTTTACTTCAGAAGGTCAGTTCACTTAAATAAAAAACATTTTTAATTATATTTTTTTCTCTTACATCTAGTAGAATCCATCAAACATTGGTTTTATTTGTTTAGGTTTCAGAAAAGTTATTTTGGATGATCTAAAGACCTCATTGGGGACTGCTTTCAGTGGAACTGCTTTCTATTGAATCAATCAGCCTGTCCACACCAGAAAAACATCCAACTATAGGTCGACTGTGTGCACGCACCTTATTACCACCCATATTTACATTTATTGTTATTCATTGTTGTGTCTGTAGGAAGTCACAGGTGAGGTAGTATAAAAAGCGAGGACGTCCATGTTAGAAGGTGGATAGGGTGGATCGATGGGTCAAACTAACACAGGACTTTCAGCCTGGAGGCCGGGTAAAGTTTTGCGTTATGTAGGTGACTCATGTGACTTACGTTACTTACGTCACATGACTAACATAATGTAACATACTTATTTGAACCCAAACCACAAGCTTTTCCTAAACCTAACCAAGAAGTTTTGTTGCCTAAACTTCACCAAACAGCGACTGTTTCACAACGTTAACCACATGTTTGATCGTCATGTGACTCATGTCATGTGACTGACATGACATATTCTGTCATTTAGGATGTGTTGCAGCAAATAGTCCCTATGAAAACTGTTGATAGTGTGTTCTTTCGGCTTATATAGAGTAAATGGGACACTGCTTCTGTAAAGAGATGTTGCAGTTTTTAAATGTAATTTTTCAATATTTTAGGTACCACTTGTGAAATTGCATTTAGGGTATTAGGTTGGTGGCAGTAATCTCAAAAAATGGCAATTAATCCAAAACTGTCTGCAATATTAAGTGATCTTTCAAAACAAACTGAAAACATCACCTGCAACTGTGCTCTCTATTTTATTAAATAGTCCTCTTTACACAGTTTCTGTATGCCGTCCTCTACAGAATGACATTAAAGTGAGATTAAAAATGTGATTTGTTCCACCAGAGGACCGATTGGTGTGTCCCGCTTAGGGTTGGGCCATCGTCCATCGGCGATGGCTGACAGATGGTTGAGCAGTCATCGTGATTGTAAAACCCCGCCCCCTGGCAAAAAAAAATAAAAAATTATATTCACATAATACCGCCATGTGAAAGCGGGTTTTAATCACCACGAACATTATTATTATAAATTTTAAATATGCTTCGCACCTTCCTCGGAATTCTCCCCACACTCAGACACACATACACACAAGAAGCCTACACCTCAGTTAAACACACCGGCTTGCCCCGCCTCTCTCTGTCTCCCCCCTCGCTCGTCTACTCCACTTTCTCCATCAGCAGTACGTTTTATGAAGTTGCCTAAAAGACACAGAACTCTTCTGTATTCCATATTTTTCCACCCGCGATCCGTTATCACGGCAGCAGGTGAGCCGCTTGTGGGCTTGTTAATGACAAACAAAAACAACCAAAACCAACATCTGCACCCTGTGTGTTTACTGCTGCTTTACCTGGTCTGTGCTTGTAAAATTTCCACCACGACTTGTAACGTCATAGGCTACCAAGTTTTTAGCCAAGTAAAGTCTATGCGAGTGAACACATGCACATAAGACAACCGCTATGGTCCATCCCAATGTTTCAATGTAGACTTCGTCCAATGGTAATTTTGTGGATTTTCAAAATACCAATTACCCCTTCACAGGGTTTGAGGTTGCACCTGTAACAGCTGGATTTTAATAGTTTTAAGTCCCTGAATTCTTTGTAAAGGAGCTACAGAGACCCTGACTCACTTCAACTATCTTTCATCTGTATCTCTGTCCCTCCCGCACATCTTTCCACATCTGGATCTGTGAAGTTGTAATTGTAGGGTTACATATACCTGTTACACCCTTGGACATATAAGAGAACACACACACACACACACACAGGGACACACATATGCAAAAACACATCTGTTCTGAGTGGCAGACATTGCTAGTCAAAGCACATGATATCAGCATTACTCACAGGATAGCAGTGTGTGTGGTGAAGTCATTGCTGGTATCAGCTTGTAATAATCATTTCCTACTAGCAGCTTGGTTTCCCTGTAAATTTGTTACAACATGTCTGGCCGTCTTAACACCAACACCTCCACCGTCTGTCTGTATAGCCAATATAAATGTCACCCACAGCGTTTGTCTGAGTGTGTGTCTGTGTGTGTGTGTGAGTTCAGCTGGAGGGTAGTGGTACTTATTTTGGTTATTGAATTTGAGGAAAAGAGTCAGAGTGTTCCAGGAGATGACTGCAGCATTGGGTAAGGGAAGGAAAGGCTGTATTTGTCTTCTTGTCGACAAACATTCCTGCAACTGTTAGTTCAACAACAACCCGTCTACCTGTGAGGAAGATGCAGAACCCCTAACTTCAGTGTTGTAGGGTTCTTGTGTTGTTGTTCAATAAGATGTTGATAAAATGAGTG